GACTGCCACAATGTCTCATTAGAATGAATTAGATTTTTGCCAGCCTATAAAGCTTGTCCAAATCTAGCAAAAGTCACTGTTATTATCCTGTTATTATAGCACTGCTTTTATTCATTATTAACATCACATACTGCATGTGTTTTGGTCTAGCATATCCACCAATGTAATGAATTTTGTTTTATAGCATTGGCTTATATTAAAGAACAAGGCGACCGATTTATTAGCCTTTATTAAAATATCATGATATATATATATATTTTAAAATCTATTTAATACATACATAGACTAGGTTCAAAGTTCTTGAGATAGACTCTCATTATCTAATGGCCTAAAACTTAGAAGTAAAAAAGCTTCGATATGGATACTGGTATCGGGTATCAGCTCATAAAAATGCACATCATGATCAACATCTGATACCACCTAAAACTACGTAGATAAGCCTAGTGTACACTGCTGCATTAATGACCAAACAACTCAAGTTGGCAGTGAAAAAGCGTCTGCTCACACAGAGGAGTGCTGCTGATGCCACAGCAGCCAGACAAAAAGTTGCTGATCACATTTTGCATTCCCACCAGACTACACGGTGTGACTTTAGCTCATTTTAAACAAACACAAACACAATCACAACCACATAATGCAATATGGGTGGAGACATGTAGGCTTACAAAACAAATCAAAAAGAGTCGATATTTGTGGAACTAAAGTCCATCTATGCCTACTTTATGTATCCAGCCTACATTTGAAGTTTGAATGTTAATAATTTGTTTTTATTGTCTTTGTAAATTAGGCTGTAGAGAAAGATCATATTTTCCTACCGTGTACATCACCACCTGGTTTTAGCATCAGTCACTGTGCTAAAGAGACTGTTGTTGAAAGAGAGAGATGGTGGGCGGGGATCAAAACTATGAAATGTACTTTACTTACAGCTGTACAGAAGCGTCCCCATCCTTCTCCACTGAAACACTACTTGATACATAAGTGGATAATGCACTACATTTATAATCAGCTGGATTTTAATGCTTTAACTGTTCAGGTTACTTACTTATTCTAAGTAGGTTATTTAATATATGTCAGTATTAGCAAGTACCGAAAACTGTAGTCATACTGGGTCAGAAAAAAAACAGTAAAAATGCATCCCTAGTAAAAACAAATTGTTACTAATTTATAACCCCATTTCCAAAAAAGTTGGAACACTGTGCAAAATGTAAATAAAAACAAAATGCAACGATGTGCAAATCATTTTATTTTTTTTTTTAAATATGTGCCCATTTTGAATTTGATGCCAACATGTTCCAAAAATTTGGGAAGAGGGGCAAAAACAGGCTGGTGAAGTTGTGTAATGCTAAAAAAACAACCTGGTGGTTGATTGCCAACAGGTCAGTGACATAATTTGGTATAAAAAAGCGAGTCTTTCAGAAGTAAAGATTGGGAGGAATTCACCACTGAATGACTGCACGATCAAATTCAAGAATAACAATGCTCAACATAAAATAGCAAAGAACCTTTGCTTTTCATCATCTACGATACATAATAATATTAAAGGATTCAGAGAATCTGGAGAAATCTCTGTATACAAGGGACAAGACCAAAAACCAGTATTTACTGGCCATGATCTTTGGGCCCTCAGGCGGCACTGCATTAAAAACAGACATGATTCTGTAGTGGAAATCACTGCATGTGCTCAGAAACATTTCTGAAAAACACTGTCTGTGAAAATAGTTTATCGTTGCATCTACAAATTCAAGTTAAAACTCTAAAATATAAAGAAGAAACCATACATAAACAGGATCCAGAAATGCTGCCACCTTCTCTGGGCCTCAGCTCATTTAAAATGGACTGAGGTGAAGTGGAAAAGTGTCCTGTGGTCTGACGAATCAACATTTGGAATTCTTTTTGGAAATCATGGACACTGTGTCCTCCGGGATAAAGACCACTCAGCTTGTTATCAGTGCACAGTTCAAAAGCCAGTATTCATGATGGTATATGGGGTGCACTAGTGCACATGGCATGTGTGATGTGCACATCTGTGAAGGCACCATTAATGCTGAATGGTACATACATGTTTTGGCAACATATGCTGCCATCCAGACAACGTCTATTTCAGGGAAGGCCTTGATTATTTCAGCAAGACAATGTTAAACCTGCATGTACAACAACAGCATTGCTCTGTATTAAAAGAGTCCATGTGCTAAACTGACCTGCCTGCAGTCCAGACCTGTCACTCACTGATAACATTTGGCGCAATATGAAATGAAAAATACAACAGAGCAGACCACGAACTGTTGAGCAGCTGAAATCCTATATTAAACAAGAATGGGAAAACATTTTACTTTCAAAACTACAGCAATTGGTCTCCTCAGTTCCCAAATGCTTACAGAATGTTGTTAAAAGAAGAGGTGATGAAACACAGAGGTAAACATGCCCCCGTCCCAACTTTTTTGGAATTTTGGCATCAAATTCAAAATTTCTCTGTTTCAACATTTGATATGTTGTCTTTGTAGTATTTTCCTTTAAAATATGGTCTGCATGATGTATGGTTTACATATCATTGCATTCTATTTTTATTTACATTCTGCACAGCATCCCACCTTTTTGGATATAGAGTTGTATTATTAGTACATCACATACAGGCAAAATGGGGAAAGTGATCATTAGTTCATATGATAGTATCGTTTTCAACATAAATGAAATTGTAATTTAAAACCTAATAAAAACACAACATTAAGTCAGTTAAACCATGTCCTGTACCAGCACCTGCTTAAGCAAAGCACATAGGTGCCAATAACAGTGGGGTATTGAGTTGCTGGTTCCTCCAAAACTAAAGAAGGGGGGCAACGCCCCTATAGCAAAAAGCTCAAGTATAGCCAGAAAAATGCACAGAGAGGCTGAAAGCAACTGCCATAGTGAAAATGCATTTAACAAACAGTAGGGATTTTAAGTATGCAGTGTTTCAATGGCAGCAGAAAAAGTGTGCTGTTTTCAATAATCTTATAGTCCTTGTCTTTTAACTAGTAGTTGACAGAGATCCTCTTCTGTGGTACAAGATACACATATGGCCTCTGAGTTTAGAAGAAGCCCTTTATTTCTTGTCAAATTAGCTAGACTGGTTGAAAATACTTTGCATGTCATACTTTCTTTTTTTCCTGTCAGACTGATATATTAATAAAAACTACAACAGTCAGCATTGAATGGTGCAGTAATGCCTGTAATATAGTTTTGCTTGCTTGTTCGTGTTTTCAAGGACGGTGTTTTATAATGTCAAAACAATAAACAACAAAAATATTTTTAATTTAATTTTTATATTTTCGGTAGCACTGTATTTTAAGGTCTTAATGGTTAATGAACTAGTAGTAAGCAACTAATTATGCCCTAGTACATAGAATCATATTTGTAAGCAAGCTTAAAAATATGGTATAAATGTTTTTTATATGACGACAAGGTGTTCTCTAATTTGTTATTAACTATTTTTTGACTAATGAGTGAAAAGTTACTCACTGTCTTGTTTTTCCCTACTCATTTATTTTCTCACAAGCATGGGCCTTGTGGACCTCAGTGCTAAATATTGACCTCAGATGTGGGTAACAAAGCATGGTACACAGAAAAGCAAACAAACAAAAAAAAAGAAAAGCATTTTCGCTGTGAAAGTTCAGCAAAAATGAATAAATATATATTAAATGCATGTAATAATATTTAATGCATGTAAAGTACATTTTTTCACAAAACCATATTTTTGCATTTACTTTAATAGTTATTGCTTTTATTATGATGGTAAAATACTGTATCCCAGTACTTGAACTAGTAAAGTTGTTGAACTGCAGTAAAAGGCAGCATTTCTAAGAAATTAAATGACTGGAAATTTACAGATTTTTACCATCAGTTATGACAGAATTGCTAGAAAAAATCAAGTGATGAATAGCTGAAGTAAATCATAATTTTGCATTACCGTCATTTCATAATATTCTGAGCAGATCACATACAGGCAAAATGGGGAAAGTGGTTATAATTGAAAGAACATAATTGTTTAAATCACAATAAAAACACAAAATTAAGTCAACTTAGCCTTGTGCTGTACCCCCCTGGTGAATGCATGTAAATGAACCGTAATTTATTGTATTTTAGCATTGCCACTGTTAATTTAGAGAAATTGTTGCATTTATTTTAATGGTTGTTACTGCAATCATGATGACAATACAGTCAGAGTAACTAGTTGAATTAGTGACATTGTTGAACTATGATAAAAGGCGGCACAACTAAATGATTGTAATTTTACAGATTTTTACCATCATTCAGAAATTAAAAAGTAAGACGGTCAACCACCATCAGCCATCATTAATCAAGCACCAATTTCTGTTTTGTGATAAAGATCTTTCATTGGGTTAGCTACCAATCAGCTATAAGAGTATGAATAAGAGTATACTGCATTTAACATTTAGCATATCTTGCTTTAAGTGGCTAATTTGCTTAGCAAACAGGTGAGTGAATGTGCACTTGGTCTTTTTAGCAGTGCTGCAATGTGAGCCACATTAAGAAGGAGGTTATTTGATGGTAAGATGAGTTAACAAACATAAGTCAATAATAATCATTTATTGTGCTCATTTCTTTCTACAGTTGGATACATGTGCATTTTCTGGGCTACTTTATACAGTGTTATCTGGCTAGCTTTCTAGTCATTACACTCAAGTATAATCTGCAGTAAATGCAACCTAAATGAATAACCTCTATGGCCTGTCTATATAAAATCCATTCATATTTCATTTTAATACAGTAATGATATTTTATTTAAAATTTTGTCATAGCATGCCACAACAATGAAATCTCTGGGTCTTATCTGGCCACCCCATTCTGAAGGTTCTAGCTATGCCCCTGCTACTGCCGCACTTCTGTATGTCTATTTCAATGATCTCTTTCTGCTGTACTGGCCAGCAGACATGCTGCGACAAGTACATGTGCGTCACATCTTGCTCCTGAATTCCGAGAACTAAATCTAGCATTCAGAGGAACAGAATGTTGTGCAATTTTACAGCTAGAAATAGTTTGTCATAAGCAGCAAACGCACTGGACATCTCACCAGCTCTAGATCAATAACAGGTAAATCCGTTTTTATTCTAATACAAACCAGACAAAGGCTACTGAGACCTTACAGCAATCAGACAGCAGTACTGCATGTTTTATGTAATGGGCCTCTTTTTGTGAGACGCGCCGTTCCTCAAACTCCTCAGTTGAATTGGATTCAGTTATTTTGTTCAGACTTTAGAATGCATTTTAAATTCTCAACATGTGGTTGCGAGACAGTAGACTCTGGCTTTGTCTCTGGAGCATTTCATGCAGTCGCTTCTGCTCCCTTGGAACAGTCGCATAGTATGATCTTTCAGCCAGAGAGTGAAGACCCTCAGAAATACTAATGTTTATTTATATAAATAAAGCATGCCAGTGGCAGTTGAAAGTGCTTTACAGACAGGTGGTAACACTTAACAGTAGCAGGAGAAATTATGAATATTAATTTAAAATCATATAAGACAATGACAGATTAACAAATTAAAAGATTAATACCAAGAGACATAGAGTTTTAATTATAATTTAAATTAAATGAAAAGTGAAAGAGATTTTTTTAATCTTCTTAAAAGTGAGCACTGAGCTTGACTGTGTAATAAAAGGCGGAATTTCCACAGTTTAGAAGCAGAATAACTGAACGAGTCTCTCCGTGTTTTCTATATTTTTACAGAAGGTCTTTGTAGAAGGTCAGTATCTACAGATCTAAGATCACGTGTTGGAACATAAACAGACAGACACTCTGTGGTATAAGTGGTGCTTTAAGGCCATTTGGAACCTTAAAACTAGTAGAAGAACTTTAAAATCTATCTTGAACGAAACAGGCAGCCAGTGCAGTTCTTTTAAACAGGAATGACATGATCTCTCTGTTTTATTATTGGCAGAATGCAGAGGATTAGTATTTCATTTTTTTGTGATTTAATTGTAGAAAATTTTGTGACATCCACTGAGAAACATCTGAACTTCTGACTGATTATGAGAAGGAATGAAAATGTATGATGATTTGGATCAGCTTGCAGTTCTAAAATGTATGCAGGAAGTTCACATTCATCTCAGTAACTTCTTAAAATGCTCCCTTTTGGCACAGCATCTTATGTAGAACATCTGAGTTTACAACCCCATTTCCTAAAAAAGCTGGGATGCTGTGCCAAATGTAAATAAAAATAGAACGTAATGATATGCAAATCATGTAAACTATATTTTTAAAGGAAAATACTACAGAGACAACATATCACATGTTGAAACTGAGAAATGTTTTTGCTTGTTTTTTAAATATATGCCCATTTTGAATTTCATGCCAAAAACACTCCAAAAAAGTTGGGACGAGGGCATGTTTACCTCTGTGTTTCTTTTAACAACACTCTGTAAGCGTTTGGGAACTAAGGAGACCAATTGATGTAGTTTTGAAAGTTAAATGTTTTTTTCATTTTTGTTTGATATAGGATTTCAGCTGCTCATCAGTTCGGGGTCTCTTTTGTTGTAATTTTCATTTCATAATGCACCAAATGTTATCAGTGGCTGACAGGTCTGGACTGCAGGCAGGTCAGCTTAGCACCCTGACTCTTTTAACATGGAGCAATGCTGTTGTGATGGATGCAGATTGTGGTTTGGCATTATTTTGCTAAAATAAGCAAGGCCTTTCCTGAAAAGACGCAGTCTGGATGGCAGCATATGTTGCCAAAACATGTATATATCGTTCAGCATTAATGGTCACCCATACCATGTGCACTAATGCACCCCCTATACCATCATGAATACTGGCTTTTGAACTGTGCACTGATAACAAGCTGAATGGTCTTTATCCCAGAGGACACAGTATCCATGATTTCCAAAAATTTCAAATGTTCATTTGTCGGACCACAGGACACTTTTCCACTTCCCCTCCCCGCATTTCTGGATCCTGTTTATCTATGGCTTCTTCTTTGTGTTTTACAGTTTTAACTTGCATTTGTGAATGCAGTTGTGAACAGTTTTTATAGACAGTGTTTTTCAGAAGCGTTTCTGAGCCCATGCAGTGATTTCCACTACAGAATCATATCTATTTTTAATGCAGTGGTGCCTTTGATTGTGCCGTCTTTCACAGAGTGGTGAACACCTCCTCATCTTTACTTCTGAAAAACTCAGCCTCTCTGAGATGCTTTTTTATACCCAATCATGTTACTGACCTATTGCCAGTTAACCACCAGGTGTATTACAAAACTTTACCTGTCTTTTGTTGCCCCCGTCCAAACTTTTTGGGAACATATTGTTGGCATTCAAAATGGGCATATATTTTACAAAAAACAGTAAATTTCTCAGTTTCAACATTTGATATGCTGTCTTTGTACTATTTTCAATTAAGTATAGGGCTTAAATGATTTGTACATCATTGCATTTTGTTTTTATTTACATTTTGCACAGTGTCCCAAATTTTTTGGAAATGGGGCATTTACAGTACTATCACTATCTGACTTTTGAACTCCAGTCCACAACTGTTCACTCTGTTTATTTTATTAAAGGTATTAATACCACGTGTGAACAGGGCCATGGACACTTTGAATCACTTTGTTAAGACCTTGTTATACAAGTTATTTAGCATGAATTATAACCTAAGGTCACAATGTATCAATGTATAATTAGCAGCATTTGAATCCAGTTGTAATCGTGTCAAATAAATTCTTTAGTTTATTACTTTACAGATAACAGGGGTTACATAATTCATGTCAAGATGCGTGCAGTTAAAAAAAGTGCACATTTTCAATTTGTATAAAAAATTCATGAAACTATGAGACTATACATGAAATTCTGCCAGAAAGATTGAGTACAGCACTGCTATATCAACATTGTGTTCTATAGAAGAGTTCAATGTCTGGAATACAACTTGAATTATTACTGGTAATAAATAAAATATAAGCAATATACACTAACTAGCATCTATATGAATGAAATGCCACCAATTATACACTTATAAGAGATAAATTTAAATAATTCATGCTCAATAGTTTGCATAAAAAGGTCTTAACAAAGTCTGCATTAGTACAAATAATAATGTAATAAAAAATAAAAAAATGTTATTTTCACAACTGTAATTATTATTATTGTTCATTGAAAGATATTATTATGATTTTATGCATGTACAACAGTTCAAAGCTGTGTTTGCCAACAGGCTAGCTTTTGAGTTCTGAATTAGCTACAGTTGTCACTACCGAAACAATCACTACTGAAACATTTGGTAAAGTTTTGGTAATGTTATGATTATTTTGGTAGTGACAAAATGGAATATTTAATCACTTGTTTGAATAAAATATACTCAATTAAGGTCCCTCAAAGCAAAAGGGAGTCAGTTAAAAAACCAAAACAGTCCGCTTTGAATTTCTGTGAAGTCATGAAAAACCAAAACATTTAAATTTACATTTATCTGCCTGTTGATCCTACATCAGTTTAGCCCCACCCATTCCCACAGAAGTTTTAAGGAGCTCCAGTTGCTTTTTGAACAAAGCACAATTCAAAGCAATCAGTGCACCTCTTATTTACATATAGAATATATTTTATATTTTATATATGTTACATATGTCTTAAAGGCACACTAAAAATAATATACCCAGGATGGAAAACAGTCACATAACAAAGCAGTTATGTATTTGTTATATTAAACCACAAAATATTATAAATGCTATCATCCAGATTTAAGTTTACTTGCAAAATTATTATTTTTCACAGTGCCATTTGTGAGCCCTGAGCCTTGACTAATTTAGCCTCCAGGAGACCCCATTTCTGTCTTTTGCCTAGAGCCCTGAAAACACTAAATCTGCTCCTGTATGTAAAAATATTATTTGATTTGCATCATTTTTGCCCCATTTAATAGGCCAAATTGGCATTTTAAATTATTAACCAAAAAATAAATTGCCAAATAAAATAACATGCATGGTACTGCCTGATTCCAGTCATGCATACTTGCTTGTAAGAGACCCAGACCATTTATATATATATATATACTGCTAGAATCAGAAGGTCATTGACACTTAGTGAAAAAGGGACAGAGTTAAACACAGAACAGTGCAATACAATACATAAGTGCTGTACAATACATTACATTACATTACAATCAATACTTAATTTAGTACTCATTTAAGTGCTGAATAAACAGGTGTGTCTTCAGTCTGCGTTTGAAGACAGCGAGAGACTCTGCTGTACGGACAGCCAGTGGGAGTTCGTTCCACCACCTGGGTGCCAGCACAGAGAACAGTCTAGATGCTTGCCTTCCACGCGCCTTGAAGGATGGCGGGTCAAGCCGAGCTGTACTCGAAGCTCGAAGGGCTCGTGGTACAGTTCGAGATTTGACCATTGCCATCAAGTAGGGAGGGGCTGGTCCATTTTTGGCTTTGTAGGCAAGCATAAGGGTTTTAAATCTGATGCGTGCAGCTACAGGAAGCCAGTGAAGGGAGCGCAGCAGTGGGGTGACGTGGCTGAACTTTGGGAGATTGAAGATGAGTCTTGCTGCTGCATTCTGGATGAGTTACATCTTGTTTGCTTAGTAGATAGATTAATGTTTCATTTCATTAGAAGATACATCACTAAAAATGGAAAGTCCATTTGATAAATATGTTTATTTTTATAGATGTATTAGGGCTTTTCCACTTATTGGCAAGATTACCATAGCAATTGTATGTGACTGTATAATACAGTCAATGCAATCAGAATGTCTTAGGCTAAGACAAATTACTTTGGGCTTGTGGAAGGTCTTGAGTCTTTCTGAGCCATAGGGCCAAAATCCAATCGCGGGTCCGGGTAATTTTTGCATTGAATCTGACCTGCTTCTACAGCACTAGTGTTTTCATGACTGACCTGAAATGTATGCCACAAAAGTCAGCACCAAGCCTGTCTGTGTTTGCTTTACAGAATCAAGAGGTATCATTACTTCTACTCCAATGACAGCGGCAGAATATCCTGACTTTAAAAACCACACAAGTCTGAATATGAGTTCTTCATCATGCACAGATCTGTGTATGTTCTACTCAGTGGCGAATGTGATCATCTTCATCCTGGGTGTTGCTGGAAATGGTTTAGTGATCTGGATTGCAGGCTTTAAGATGAAGAAGTCCGTCATCGCCACCTGGTACCTGAGTCTGGCCGTGTCCGACTTCATAATGTGCTCTACCTTGCCCTTTGGTGTCGCCCAAAAGGTTACAAATGAGTGGATCTTTGGACGCTTCATGTGTAAATTCCGGTATTTCATCAAGCTTCTCAACATGTACAGCAGCATCTTCCTCCTCGTCATCATCAGTGTGGACCGCTGTGTGCTTGTTATGTTTCCTGTGTGGGCTCGGAACAAGCGCACCATAAGAAAGGCTGTCGTGATAGTCATGCTAGCTTGGATCGTCTCAGCAGCACTTAGCTCACCCGCAGCCATTTTCCGAGACATAAAACAGAACAAACAGAAGACAAAATGTGAAAGAACTGACATAAATGAGCCAAGCCATTTTGCCATAGTGTCTTGCAGATTCATTTTTGGATTCGTGATCCCGTTCCTGATCATTGTCATCTGTTATGTCGTCATCATGCGAAAGCTGAAGTTCAACCAGATGGCGACATCCAAAAAGCCATTCAAGATCATGACGCTGCTGATAGCTGCTTTCCTCATCTGCTGGTTGCCTTTTCATTTTTATTCTTTTTTGAAAATACATTATAATGACAAAGATTTTGTCAAATCCCTAAAAGTATTTGGCCTCACTTTTGCCAATGCCAACAGCTGTTTGAACCCCCTTCTTTATGCGTTCATGGGGAGGGACTTTAAGAGGCATTGTTATGCGGTTCTGTCCAACATTGAGAATGCAATTGAGGAGGAGGAGGGGAAGGGCCAGGACAGAGTCCAAGGGACAGCTGGCGACACTACTGAGGAAAGTTTAAGTTTAAGTGTTTGACATGTTTAAACAGTTGAAAGGAAAACAACATCTTTCTTCTTTATTTAACATAAAAAACACTAAAAAAACTTTCACACCTGCAAAAGTGTCTCAAAAACCAAAGTGTGCTTTAACTGTAGGTACAAAATGATTCCATTTCATGAGGAGGACTATGCGTGAAGCTAAACTGTAAAGGCTTGTAATGGCTTACTGTTGGTGACAGATACATTAGATCAGTGAGGCTTGATTTCTAAAGAACAAAATGGACAACACTTTATATCAAGGGTTGCAAATTAATTGAGAATTATTTACTATAAGTAATATCATACTCTTTATCTATATATTAGTTAACTATCATTAGCATTAACCCCTTAAATGCTCAGAGCCCGTTGGCAGCTCTGCACATCTTCTCCAATGACAGTTTGTTTAGGGATCCAAGGGTGGGTTTTCATGATTTTGCTTTAAAAGGATCATTTTGGCACCTTAGATTTTAGGATAATATGAAAATGGTATAACAGATACTGTCAGTATGTCCATATATCAGCGATGACTATACATGTTTCTGAAGAAGAAAGTTGCCAGTATGTCCAAGTAATGAAGATACCATCACGCATGTTATGTCTCAAATGCTATATTTGGCTGTCTGATATCTCTTATGCACTTTCAGATTTGGGTCACCAAAGTTCCTACTGTAATTCATAGTGAAGTGCATATAGGCTGAAATTAATCATGACTAGTATTGTTAATATATTAGTATCAAAGATAATTGCTTTACTTGGGGGGGCACATAAAGTAGTAATTAGGGTTATATAGTATGAAGTAAGGAGCCATTAATGGTGAAAATGTGAACACAACTCTGAGGATAGTGAGGCAGCTGAACTTGTGGAGGTGAAGGAAAGTGTCCGGTAAAGCCAAGAGACATGTATCACAATAGATTCCTTAACAGATAATTAACAGAACTAACATATACACATTAGTTAGTTTCTTATTTCTATGAGTAAACACATGTATCAGTTCATCAGCAGTGCGATTAGAAACAGCTGATACACACTTCATGAAAAAATAAGTAATAAACTAATAATGAACTAAAATATGTACTTATTACATTTACTAAGTATTAACTACTGCATAATAAACACCTAATAAATATGTGAATAAGAAGTGTTAGCAGAAAAAAATGGAAGAATAAGCTTAAAACCTTCACTCACGCTTAAGCAATTTATCTTTAAATGTAGAATCTTAAATTTACTGCATGCTCCACATTTTTAGCTTCCAACAACAATGAAAGAACTTCACCTTCTTCATCACACTATCTGCATATATGTAAATGTATTCATATGTATTCATATATATATATATATATATATATATATATATATATATATATATATACTACTGTACTTGGTTGATATGGAAAATTCCATTATTTTTTTATTTAGATGCTTAATGCACTGCAATGTATTTATTACTTATTTCTTACTGCATTGTACAAACCCATTTCCAAAACAGTTTGCCAGATGTAAATAAAAACAGAAAGCAGTGATTTATAATTTGCTTTGTCATGTCCTTAGACACAATATTTACTGCTTCATCTGATCAACTTCATCGATTTGTTGTAAAAATACTTGTAAATACATGATTGCCCATGAACTTTGAGTCCTCAGACAGCACTTCATTAAAAACGAGCATGCTTCTGAGATGGACATTGCCTCATGGGCTTAGGAATACTTGCCATTATCAATAAACACTGTTTGTCACTGCATCCACAAATGTAAGCTGAGAATGTACTATGCTCAATGGAAGTCAGGAAATGCTGCCAACTTCTCTGGGTTCATCTGCAATGGAGTGATGCACAGTGACAATGCGTTGCGGTGTGATACGTGAACTTTCAGATTGTTACCACCTATGGTCTGTCGTTATATGTCCATGACATGGGTAATGTGCACAACTGTGAAACACCATTAATACTGAAAGATTTTCTCAGTTGTCCTTCTAGCTAAATCTGTAAATTTCAAAGTATTTTTGTTTTATTTTGTATTATAACTTTACACGTTGAGCCAATGTTTTTCAAAATAAAAAAAGCTACATGTTGATAAATTTATACTATGTCAGTACAATCTAAAACATGCACTTCATACAACAGCTAGAAATTTAACTGTTTTTATGTAACTTGAATTAATGAGTTAATGAAATAAAGCAAAGCACGTTCAGATTGGATGAGATTACATTAAAGTAGACTCATTTCAAATGAACAAAAGACCTATTTTCAATTGAACCTTAAAGACATTTCAAGTCAACTTCTGCCTTGTTCCACTTTTGCAGTACAATTTAGCAATGTAATTTACTTTACAAAACAGGGGTCATTCTGGGTGCTGCTCCAGTACTCCAGTGCTGTAATTGAGATTTTGTCCCATATTTTCATCCATCCAACCTCTCTCCATCCATGCATTCATCCCCTTCGTCCAAATGTCCCTCCATCCATTCATATATCTATCCTACCATCCATCCATGCGTGCATCTATTGATCCAACCGTCCCTACATCTATCCACTCATCCATCAATCCAAACATCCCACCATACATCCATCTGTCTGTTCCTCCATCTATTCATCCATCCATCAATCTATGTATCTAAATGTTTGTGATTAATAAGACAATGCTTTTTTGTACACTTCACTTAGTTGTATTGATTCATGAACATGTGGTGTATGTTTTATGTCACCTTACAGTTTTTGTTTCCTTCGTTGATATGTAGGTGCATGCATGGAAATGACATCCTCACAATCAATTATTAGCAAATGCCCTTTAGAAATTCCTTTTCAGCATCAAAATATAATCAAGACTTTTCCTACAATAAAAGCTTTCTTCACAAAATGCAAAATGTTAGGCTTTTATGCCAACAAATGATCCTGTACTATCTTGTAGTATCTTGTACTATGTTTATCTATCTTTAACTTTTTTAGATATAATGAGTTTTAAAAGAAAAATGTAAAGGAAAAATCAATGTGGTATTTTTCAGAACCAGTGTTGGGGGTAACATGGTACAAAGTAACACATTACAGTAATATGATTACTTATTTCTGTAACACAGTAATGAAAGTGGAATAATTTCTTGTTAAGTGTTTCTCAACTTTTGTCTCTTTTGTCCCACCCAGCTGATGATCACCCATTGCCTAGGGGGGTGTTCTTTTTTCAGTCCTACAGGAAAGAAATATTTGTTAAGAAAAATGTAATTTTCAATAAAAAATAGATGTAAAATAAAAAAGTAGTGAAAAGGTACATCCTTTTTAGTTGTCTAGCTAGCTAGCTGCTATTCCCTGCATTTATTTCCATGTGCAGGCAAGCGAGTTGTCCATTCAGAGCAGAAAGAAATGTATTAAATCTGCACTGGGCTTTAAGATAGACATGTGTTTAGGACACACTGTGGTAAAAAGGCATTTTTGCAGCTTAAAAACATGTAGAATCCATACAGAATCTAAAACATTTGTGCAGAAGTGACCAAAAAGCTCTTTTGAGCTGGTTAAAAGGACACAGTTTTTCTCCTGCATCACTCATCAGTGACCTATTTAAACTGTTTCGGCAACCACGTCCCCCCAGATTAGCATTTTGTGCTGCTTGATATGACAATAATTAGTATTTTTTGTTAACTTGTTTCACTAAAAAGCATAAATATACACACACAAATCACCTAAGCCACTTATCTGTCTGGGTCATTGGGGTGCTGGAGACTATCCCAGCAATCATTGGGCGGAAGGCAGGAAACACCCTAGACAGGTTGCCAGTCCATCACAGGGCAGACACACAGATGTACACAATCACACACACACACACTCACACCTAGGGGCAATTTAGCATCTCCAATTTGCCTGACTGCATTTTTTGAGCTGTGGGAGGAAACCGGAGCACCCAGAGAACATGCAAACCCCACACAGAGAGGACCTTGTCACCTGGCCAGGGAATCAAACCCAGACCCTTCTTATAAAAGTGCTTATTTCAATTAGCCTCACTTAATGTTGCCAAACAGTTCACTCCAGGCTCAGTGTGTTCCACTAACAAAATCCAAGTGAGATCTGTTTCCGCTGAGTCAGGCAGCAATTCAGTAAAATGAACGCTTCGTTTAAACAGCCCAGATAGTCGAGCTCAGATACAGAGATTTATCAGCTAAATCAGTGCACTCAATGCAATCAAAGGAACCCCAAAATTCCAGGGAAAAAAGTCTTCCAATGGTGACAAATGTCCTGACTCTTCTGATCCTTACATACTCAAAATCTGTAAATGCTGTTATTAATTATTATTATTATTATTATTATTAAAAGGTAATGTTAACTAAAGACCTTGTAAAGTTCAGCAGTACAAATTAGAGTGGCTGTGTAAACACAATTCTTTCATGTTTACAGCACACTTCAGTAATACTCCATGGCAGTAGTTGGAAATAATTTTTATCAAGAGAGTCATCAATGGAATTTGCTGCATTAAAAGCATCACTTTTCGTCTATTCAAACTCGCAGGAGCAAGAACTACTGCAACGTCTTTGTGTGCTCTTTTTACACCATGACTATTCATGCAATGAAATGATAAAATCACAAACCTGCCCATAATGGTTCATATTTAAAAGTTAAAATAGCATTTGAGCCTCTGAAGGTATGTGTGTGCATACACAATGTATCTGTGTGCATGTACAGCACTGTATAAAAGTCACAGTCACCCTTTCGTTTTTCCAGACAAAACAGCCATAAGGTACAAGCTATTTACGTCAGCTGCCTCACACACGTCTTTGTCATGTGCATGTAAACACTATGGGTCTAAAAGGATGTGTAGCTGTGAAGACGACCTTGGAGAAAAGATAAAAATGACAAAAAGAAAATTTGCACTAGAGCACAGAAACTGGATATCTGAAGTGTGGAGTTATGTGTTATGGACTGATGAGTCTAATTTGAGATCTTTGCTTGTATGTATGAGCATGAAGATATAAAAGACAGAAAATGTCAAGCCGACTTCTAAGACTGAACTTTGGAGGTGTGTCTGCAGATTTCTTTAATAAACTGAAAGTGAGTCTACTGAAAAGAATGGAAGCTGGAATAAAGGTTAGGCAGCAACATGGTGGTAAGGAAACATGGTGGTGGTAGCATGATGGTATGATGCTTTATTGAGTAATACTGTGTTAGATTTGCACCAGATGTAATGGGACCCATGTCTTACAGAAAGTTTCACGTTCCACAGAACATTGTTCTGAAAGGCTTGGGAGTCAACAAGTCATTTTTTGGCAAATATAGGACAAGCCTTTATGCTCCTTTTGATTAGCAAAGGTTTTCACCCTGCAGCTTTCCCATGCATACTATTTTGTCCAGTCTCTTTTGAATGGTGGAATAAATGCTAACCTTATCTGAGGTAAGCAAGGTCTAAAGTTCCTTAGATGTTCATCAGGGTTCCTCTGTGACTTGCTGGATGAGTTGTCACTGTGCTTTTTAAGCCATTGGGAAATTAAATGATGGAAATTTTAGCCATGATGGCACAGTTGAGTAATGAATGAGGGAAAATTGTGAATGATTTAAATTAACAATGTACATTTATTTCAGGGTGCAAAATACCATGTGGGAGGGGCTAAAGCCTCCCTGAAATTGGCCTGTGGTTCGCTGGAGTCCCAAAGCCTCAGGAATGGCTCTATAACCTCTTCCAAACTGATATATTTCAGTAACCTGTCATCTTTCTAAATCTCTTTTGAATGCAACATAGTGTGCTGCATGTTGAGTCCTTTTAGCATCCTTCACATTCCTAGAAACGTTCTATTTAAGTCATGTTTCGATTAATTTGGGCTGGCAGTAATCAAACCTGGGTGTG